AATGAATGCAGCTATCTAGACAAAAGCCAGAATCGCTATATGACAGACAAGAAAAGCAAGAATGACTCTGATGCACAATGTGGCCATCGTTGTAATGGTGGTATCTGTAACGTTCTATTGTAATGTTCCTGTGCTTGTCATCTGGATGTGGGAGGCATGCTGCTGCATCACTGTACATTTACATCTAGCATAAAAGAAAACTGCACTTCCACTAAATAATACTCATTTTTACTTGTACCAACAGTCTTTGAAAGTGTCTAATTTGATTGGTTACTGAAAATAGAATATATTGCAGTATAACCTGCAGCCTCCTGGCTCTGAGTATGTCAGCTCCGGAATATCTGCTGCCAGATGATTGGCTCATTCAGGTCAATACAGAGCTGATCTCCCATCTACAAACCTCACTCTCTAGTGGTGACTTGGAAATACTCATTTCAGGCCATGCTGCTGGAAACAAGATATTTCTTTAGTACAAGTATCACACTGGCATTTTTCATAGGCTAGAGGGACAAGTAAAAAAATATATAATATTTAGTGATAGTGAGAGTGGGTGATCTCGTTTTGATTGTACAATGATTGTATGTTCAGACCTATGGTGAGCCTTGCAGATACTTTTTTATTTTTAGCATTGGTTGCAAACATCTTCAGAATGATATGAATAAATAAACATAAAGCACTTGTGTCTGCACTTTCAGATAACAGAACTTATCACTTTCAAGCTGAGGATGAATCCGAGGCATTTGTGTGAGTATAAGGAGATCTACTTTTCTTCGAATTCCTCTTCTGCTTTGTATTTGGGCATGATTGGTCCATTCATTAACATTTTTTTTCAAACTCTTTTTTTCATTTGCGAAGATGGATATCTGTACTGCAGAACAGTAAAGATGAATCACTGAATGCAGCCTTTGGTGGGGATGGAAGCTCCAGTGACAACTCCCAGCAACTAACAAAGCAGATCATTAATGAGATCAGGTCCTTACCTGGGAACCAAGTGTGCTGTGACTGCGGAGCCCCCGGTGAGCTATATTAACCACTTCAGCTCTCATACCTTTATACCTCCTATGGACTTGAACAATTTTTACATTTCTACTGTGGGCCTGTTTATTCGACTATAGCTGTGTCATTGCATAGTACATAGTGTACGTGTTTTTCTGGTGGCAAAACAGGCTCTCTTTTGGCATAGTGTATTATTATTATACAGGATTTATATAGCGCCAACAGTTTGCGCAGCGCTTTACAAAATGAAGGTAGACATTACAGTTACAATACAATTTGGTACAACAGGAAACAGAGGGCCCTGCTCGTTAGAGCTTACAATCTATTGCAGAAATTATTTTATTCTATAAACAGAAAAATACATTTTTCCATTTTGACCATTGCTAGTTTTAAAATAAGCAGTGATACTGTAAAAAAAATATGCCTTTTATTCTATAGCGTATGGCACTAAAGTGAAGTTTTGATAAAAAGCATGGTAAATTTATTTGCAAATGAAAAATGTGTCTTTATTATTTTTTCAGTGTTGCATAAAAACAAAAGCGCAAAATTAAAAAAAACAGTGAATGTAAATTAAAAAAAAAATCTAAATATGATTGGTAAATAAACAGCAGAAATATAATAAGTAAGGAGAGAAGGGGAAGAATGAGCTAATCAGGGATGATTTGGGTTAACTAAGGGTAATGTGAGGTTAAGTAGGACAACATACTTTTTTGTTTTGCGTGTAAGGGCTCTTTAAGGCTAGGTTCATCTGTGCGGGTGCTGCCGCTGCGGATCTGCACAAAAATCCATGCAGCCGCACCACCTGCACCCTCAGGCGGGTGCCATTAATTCTAATGGCACGCCGCCCACACTGGAAATCGCAACTGAGGTTCCCGTGCGGACTGCGTTTTCCAAAGAAGTGCAGGGACTTCTTCCCTGCATATCCTGGGGCACAGGAGTCCATTCAAATGAAAGGGCTCTCATCCCCACGCAAAACGTGGCCTACAGGAACGCAGAGATGTGCACCTAGCAAAACTGATGCAGAGCAAAGATCACACCTACCTTAATCTATATAAGTATGAAATAGTAAATGCAATGGAGTTGATTTACTAAAACTGAAAAGTGCAAAATCTGGTCCAGCTCTGCATAAAAACCAATCAACTTCCATTTTTTTTTTGTCAAAGCTTAATTGAACAACCATGCAGGCTACCAGGCTACCATGCACAGCTGTACCAGATTATGCACTCTCCAGTTTTAGTAAATCAACCCCAATGTATCATTACAATGTTCAGCCAGCCATATATGGGTCGAATACCAAAAGAATTTTCTTTTCTAAGAATCGTTCAAATTTCGCACCATTAGTGGGCCACAGCAACGGCTGATTTTTGAGGGACCATCGTATGTAATTGGGCATGTTTGAAATTTTTTGAAAAATGAGCTAATTTCTAATTAATGATGGGAGAAGTGTAATCGAAAAAGAAATGAGCATGAGTTGTGACCTGGAAAGAGAAGAAGATTCTTGGCCACGAAAATTATTTTCTGTAGCAACATGAGGTGATATTAAAGGTTTGGTTGATCGAATTTCAAAATCAATGGTGGCACCATGGGATTACAAAATGCATGAAATGTCCCATTTTCGAAAGAAAATGACACTGGTACTGGAAGTGTCATTGTACACGGGCAGATGCATTTTGACTGTCACTATTGCTAATACACGTTATTTTGATAGATGGTAGCTGCCGATAAGAAATATGACCAAATAAGTCTGTTGAAGTTTTAGGGCCAATTTCCCATTCCTTTTGTTCCTGAAGTGGCTAATATATGCCATCCTTGATTTTCTAATTTTTTTTCTCCAACACTCAATGTTGTCTTTGTTTCTTGTTGTTGCTTGCGAATTCCATCTCCCATCCAATACTTTGAAGCATTACCCATCTTGCTCATTTGCCTAATTTGTTTGTATCCATTTTCTTCTCATGACAGATCCCTCCTGGGTCTCTACAAACCTAGGAGTTCTCATCTGCATCGAGTGTTCTGGGATTCATCGTGATCTTGGGGTGCGGCACTCACGAGTCCAGTCTTTAACTCTGGATTTGCTGAGCACATCTGAATTGTTGGTAGGTGTTTTATTGTTCATACACTGGATATAAAAAGTCTACACACCCCTGTTAAAATGTCAGGTTTCTGTGATGTAAAAAAACGAGACAAAGATAAATCATTTCCAAACTTTTTTCACTTTTAATGTGACCTATAAAATGTACAACTCAATTGAAAAACAAACTGAAATCTTTTGGGGGTGGAGTAAACATAAAATAATAAAATAATGTGGTTGCATAAGTGTGCACACCCTCTTATAACTGGGGATGTAGTTGTGTTCAGAATTAAGCAATCACATTCAAAATCATGTTAAATAGGAGCTTGTACACATCTGCCATCATTTAAAGTGCCTCTGATTAACCCCAAATAAAGTTCAGCTGTTCTAGTAGGTCTTTCCTGACATTTTCTTAGTCGCATCCTACAGCAAAAGCTGTGGTCCACAGAGAGCTTCCAAAGCATCAGAGGGATCTCATTGTTAAAAGGTATCAGTCAGGAGAAGGCATTAGATATACCGTGGAACACAGTGAAGATAGTCATCATCAAGTAGAGAAAATATGGCGCAATGGTCACATTACCAAGAACTGAACGTCCCTCCAAAGCTGATGAAAAGACGAGAAGAAAACTGGTCAGGGAGGCTGCCGAGAGGCCTACAGCAGTGTTTCTCAATTCCAGTCCTCATGGACCCCCAACAGGTCATGTTTTCAGGATTTCCATTATTTTGCACAGGTGATTTGATCAGTTTCACTGCCTTAGTAATTACCACAGCTGTTTCATCTGAGGGAAATCCTGAAAACATGACCTGTTGGGGGTCCATGAGGACTGGAGTTGAGAAACACTGGCCTACAGCAACATTAAAGGAGCTGCAGGAATATCTGGCAAGTACTGGCTGTGTGGTACATGTGACAACAATCTCCCGTATTCTTCATATGTCTGGGCTATGGGGCAAGATGGAAGCCTTTTCTTACAAAGAAAAACATTCAAGCCCGGCTAAATTTTGCAAAAACACATCTGAAGTCTCCCAAAAGCATGTGGGAAAATGTGTTATGGTCTGCTGAAACCAAGGTTGAACTTTTTGGCCATAATTCCAAAAGATATGTTTGGTGCAAAAAACAACACTGCACATCACCAAAAGAGCACCATACCCACAGTGAAGCATGGTGGTGGCAGCATCATGCTTTGGGGCTGTTTTTCTTCAGCTGGAACTGGGGCCTTAGTCAAGGTAGAGGGAATTATTAACAGTTCCAAATACCAGTCAATATTGGAACAAAACCTTCAGGCTTCTGCTAGAAAGCTGAACATGAAGAGGAACTTCATCTTTCAGCATGACAACGACCTAAAGCATACATCCAAATCAACAAAGGTCTGGCTTCACCAGAATAAGATGAAAGTTTTGGAATGGCCCAGCCAGAGCCCAGACCTGTATCCAATCGAAAATCTGTGGGATGATCTGAAGAGGGCTGTGCACAGGAGATGCCCTCACAATCTGACAGATTTGGAGTGTTTTTGCAAGGAAGAGTGGGCAAATATTGCCAAGTCAAGATGTGCCATGCTGATAGACTCATACCCAAAAAGACTGAGTGCTGGAATAAAATCAAAAGGTGCTTCAACAAAGTATTAGTTTAAGGGTGCGCACACTTATGCAACCATATTATTTTAGTTTTTTATTTTTACTTCCCTCCACCTAAAAGATTTCAGTTTGTTGTTCAACTGAGTTGTACAGTTTATAGGTTACATTAAAGGTGGAAAAAGTTCTGAAAAGATTTATCTTTGCCATTTTTTTACATCACATAAACCTGACATTTTAACAGGGGTGTGTAGACTTTTTATATCCGCTGTATATAAGCCCATCTGATTCTATATATGAAATTCTCTTACCCACACATTTCCTCTCTTTAAAGCTTGCCATTTCAGTTGGGAATGCCAAACTGAATGAGGTTTTTGAAGCTGCACTTCCTATGCCAAATCCAAAGCCCACACCTTGCAGTGATATGTAAGTCTTTGTGTGGATGACTGAGGTATGGACTGTGAATTAGGATAACTGGATGCTGAGTGCAAGACAACAATGTAGGATGGGACAAACAGTATATATTTAAAATATAAGCTAAAACCTCAGCCAATGATTGGGGAAATAAGGTGGAAAAATGTAGAGCACCATATCAAACATACAAGTCCAAACTCCAAGTGACAGCTAAAAACTCAGCTTAGATACAAAAACGATTTTCAGCTATCCTTGTAATCCGGGGCTAATTTAGTGTCAGGCAATTAACCACTTCAAGTCCGGACACTTTGACCCCCTTCCTGTCCAGGCCACTTTTCAGCTTTCAGTGGTGTCGCACTTTGAATGACAGTTGCGCAGTCATGCAACACTACCCATATGAATGTTTTAGCATTTTTTTGAGACAAATAAAACTTTATTTTGGTAGTATTTATTCACCACTGGGATTTTTATTTTTTTTGCTATACAAATGAAAATGTCCAAAAATTTTGAAAAAGTGTTTTTCTTATAAAATTTTGCAAATAAATAATCTTTCTTCATAAATCTTGGCCAAAAATATATTCAGTTATCTTGTTAGTAAAAAAAAAACAAAACAAATTAGTTTATAACCAAAAATTATAGTTTTTCAGAATCTTTTTTTTTTTTTACATTATTATTTATGTTTTTGGTTTTTTTTTTTTTACATACTGTCACCCTAGCAGTACAGTGTATACCATGGTGACACTGTACTACTTGTGGGGGGTGATGAAGATTTTTTTTTTTTGTACACTGATTGCTTTTACACCCATAAAGGCTGTAAAAGCAATCATTTTTCCTTCTCTGGCTGCATTCCTGCAGCCACTGAGAAATACTGTGTGAGCTGTGATTGGGCACAGGTTGTCACATGGTACAAGGCTGTTGTGAATAGCCTTGTACCATGTGATCTCTGTGATCATTCACAGATTTCACTAGTAGTAAGCAATGATGTCAGAAGTGACATCTTGCTTACTACTCTTCATGTGATCACTGATTGGCCAATCAGTGATCACATGATCAGGACCTCACACAGAGGTCCCGTACAATGATCGGTGTTCCGCTGTGTCCGGAGGACACCGGATCGTGGTGCTGCACACTCCCAGGGAACGCGCACAAGCAGGAAGCTGGGAGGACAATTATAAACGGCCACCCGCCCCTGCACTGCTCCCGTCCAGCTGTTTATATACATGGGCCGCATGGGAAGTGGGTAACCAGTACAGCTTGGTCAAGGCTACACCCCCAGGCTGCCGATTGAATGAAGGACCAACAGCACAATCTTCAAGTCATCCCTCTGCCCTCACCTCCCCTTCCCTCCCAATAGCATTTTCACAGGCATATTAGATTATAGGCAAATGGATAAAGAAATAAAAAAGTATAGAAAATACATTATATTTAAAAATGTAATAGTTCCTGGAATTTCTGTGAAAGCTGCTGAATCTAGTTTACTGTTAAATGCAATGGCAAAAAGCACATCAAAGCCCACTTCCAGCCAAAACTTTTTTCAGCCTCGTAATAAATTGGAGGGGGGATAAAATATCTTTCTATTTTTTTCTGCTACCTGTAACTTCTAGTGAGACTGTAAAGGTTGTCTTTGCATTCCTGCCTGAGTTACACTGCATATTCTATTCTGATGTCACAGGGTGATAAGTGTATTGATGACAGCAATAAAACCTAGTAGAATATTTTGTCTTCACCACTTTTTTTAGCAGTAAAAAAATATTTGATTGGAGTTGGGTTAAAAGCAAACCTGTAATTCCATGCAAGGCAAAGCAGTATTCTGGCTTTATTACCATCACACTCCCATTTTACAGGCTGCCTGGGGTAGGCTGGAAGGCGCATTTGTGTCTGCCTCCTCAGTTAGAGGCTGGAGCCCCGTGTACTGTGGCTAGTGTGCACAAGTCCTTGTTCACATTATTGTGTCCTCTGCCTGTGTTTAGAGGCCGGAGCCCAGTGGCCAGTATGCATAAGCTCTCGTTCACATTATTGTGTTCTCCGCCTGCATTAGAGGCCGGAGCCCCGTCACTGTGGCCAGTCTGCATAAGGCCTCGTTCACATTATTGTGTCCACCTCTTGCAGTTAGAGGCCGGAGCCCTGTGCACTGTGGTCAGTGTGCATAAGGCCTTGTTTACATTATTGTGTCCACCTTCTGCATTTAGACACCGGAGCCTCTTGCACTGTGACCAGTGTGCATAAGGCCTCATTCACATTATTGTGTCCACCTTCTACAGTTAGAGGCCGGAGCCCTGTGCCCTGTGGCCAGTGTGCATAAGGCCTCATTCACATTATTATGTCCGCCTCCTGCAGTTAGAGGCCATAGCCCCGTGCCCTGTGGCCAGTGTGCATAAGGCCTCATTCACATTATTATGTCCGCCTCCTGCAGTTAGAGGCCAGAGCCCAGTGCCCTGTGGCCAGTGTGCATAAGGCCTCGTTCACATCATTGTGTCCGCATTCTACAGTTAAAGGCCGGAGTCCCGTGCACTGTAGCCAGTGTGTATAAGGCCTCGTTCACATTATTGTGTCCTCTACCTGCAGTTAGAGACCGGAGCCCCGTGCACTGTGGCCAATGTGTATAAGGCCTCATTCACATTATTGTGTCTACCTCCTGCAGTAAAAGGCCGGAGCCCCATGCCCTGTGGCCAGTGTGCATAAGGCCTCGTTCACATCATTGTGTCCGCATTCTACAGTTAAAGGCCGGAGTCCCGTGCACTGTAGCCAGTGTGTATAAGGCCTCGTTCACATTATTGTGTCCTCTACCTGCAGTTAGAGGCCGGAGCCCCGTGCACTGTGGCCAATGTGTATAAGGCCTCATTCACATTATTGTGTCTACCTCCTGCAGTAAAAGGCTGGAGCCCCATGCCCTGTGGCCAGTGTGCATAAGGCCTTGTTCACATTATTGTGTCCGCCTCCTGCAGTTAAAGGCCGGAGCCCCGTGCCCTGTGGTCAGTTTGCATAAGGCTTCGTTCACATTATTGTGTCCTCCACCTGCAATTAGAGGCCGGAGCCCCGTGCCCTGTGGCAGTATGCATAAGGCCTCGTTCACATTATTGTGTCCTCCTTCTGCAGTTAGAGGCTGGAGCCCCGTGCCCTGTGGCCAGTGTGTATAAGGCCTCATTCACATTATTGTGTGCTCCGCCTGCAATTAGAGGCCGGAGCCCAGTGCCCTGTGGCCAGTGTGCATAAGGCCTCATTCACATTATTGTGTCCTCCGCCTGCAATTAGAGGCCGGAGCCCCGTGCCCTGTGGCCAGTGTGCCTAAGGCCTTGTTCACATTATTGTGTCCTCCGCCTGCAGTTAGAGGCCAGAGCCCCGTGCCCTGTAGCCAGTGTGTATAAAGCCTTGTTCACATTATCGCTTAGCAGGAAAAAGTGTTCCTGCTACGCGATTTTGACATGCGATTTTTGCACGATTTTGCGTGTCGCACAGGGCAGCCTATTTGCTTCAATGGGATCCCCTATGTGAGTTTGTTGCCCGTAAAGAAGCTCCTGCTCCTTTTCGGATGACAAGCTCCACATGATTTGTGAAGGCGTGGCATGCCGCACAACAATTGCATTGTGTTTTGGGTACCATTTAAGAATAATGGCAGCCAAACGCCTGCAGTGCAGTTGTGCCACAATTGTCATGGGGATTGCAGCAGAATCGCAGCACAACATGCTGCGCACATTTCGATGCCATTATCCTTTAACTGCACCCTGAATGTGACATAATTCTGCTCTGATTTTAGCACCCCCAAATTGCATGGCAATTGCAGCACAACATGCTGCATGCATTTAAGTGCCATTATCCTTCAATGGTACCTCAAATGTGATGCAATTCTAACATGCTTCTCACGTGGAAAACCACACCTTCGCAAATCATGTGAAGTTTGTTCCCCCGAAAAGGAGCAGGAGCTTCTTTTCACTTGACGCGCATAGGGCAGCCCTTTAAAGTGAATATGCTGCCCTTTGCGACATGCAGAATCGTGTGAAAATCTTGTGCCAAAATCATGCAGCGGAAATGCTGATAATGTGAACAGGGCCTAACTCTCTAGCATCTATCAAAATTAGAATATTAGTTTTTGGGTGAACTGACCATATAATTATTTTGGTACTTTTCATGAGATATAAATAATTTTTTCTTTTTAACTTTTTTTTTTTAATTTTTCATCCAGCACACAAACACATAGATCTTTTCTGCAAGTCCTTAAAAACCATCTCAGACAGTCAGAAAAATGTAACCATATTGTAGGCGTATCTGAATGAATGACATGTGCCAGAGCAAGAGCAATTACAAAACATTAGGCATGCATGTCTGCATTGAATGTTTTTGAACACTTGCAGTGTTGTTTTCAGCTTCAATGAGTGTATTGTAATGATTTGTTTGTTTCCTAATGCAAATATTTCACACTAAAGCATGCCGTGTGCCCAGGAGAAATGTATGGAATTTTTGGCTAGTGTATGGGATTTTTTTTTTTTAGGCTAATGCAAATCATGTTAGCGTCTCTCTTGTAATAAACAGCTGGGTGATTATCAGTCATAAGGAAACAACTTACAGTGGAGTAAATCTGTACTGTAGGCAGATATCTGCCAGCATTCTGTCATACTAATGACTTATTAAAAAAAATAACATTCAGCTGAGTCATAGAAATAATCTATTCATTGTACGGGAAATGGATCTTGGTTTGCCAGGAAGCTTGTGGGAATAATTATTTGATTGTAAATAAATAGTTGCTTCCTCTGCTGGCACTGGATGATCATTTGGAGAAGCAGATATTTTGACATGTTGGACACCCACTGATCAATGCCTTTGCCTGCTATACATGCTGTCAGATTTGATGTTGTAATTCATACAGGGATCTCTGTGTCTCAATAGGAATGCCAGGAAGGATTATATCACTGCTAAGTATGTGGAGCACAGGTTTGTGAACAGAGATAAAAGCAGCAGTCTTCATGGGCTCAGAGATGCTATTCAGAGGCATGACCTGATGGCACTGCTTCAGTGCATGGCGAATGGGATGGATCTGAGCAAACCACTCAATCAGGTATCGTCTGATACAGTCACACAGCACTCCCTATGTTCCGTGTGTCCGTCTCATGAATGTTCTGCCTACTTTCCCTGCAGGATCTCTGCGAGTCTCCACTTCACCTAGCTGTTTCTCTGTGTGAGAGGAACTGCCTCCCGCTGGTGGATTTCCTGATCCAGAATGGGTTCGTACATTTGCCTACACATGATTAGTAGAGAATTGCCTAGAGCACAGCTACATATACTGTTGCACATATTGAGATGCTCTGTTGTTTTACTGGATGGATAACTCTGCTTTCACAGGGGAGCTCTGGAAAAAGTAACAGCAGATGGACAGACAGCTCTGCACTATGGGGTCAGATATAACAAACCAGATTGTATACGACTTCTCCTGAGAGCGAAGGCATCTGCGAATACTGGTAACCACATGTCTCTCACTCCCACCTTATGCCTAGAAACATTGCGTACCATTTCCCAGTGCATAGAGAGCATCAGTATTTCATTATCATTGATTGTATTTTTATTACTGCATAGAAAGACAAACGTTATTTTCATTTAAAGCAGGGGTCTTCAAACTGTGACCCTCCAGGTGTTGAGGAACTGCAACTCCAATGAGGACTTACAAGACTCTGACAGCCACAGGCAACACTCCCAGAGGCATGATGGGACTTGTAGTACTTCAATAGCTGGAGCCATAGTTTGGAGACCCCTGATTTTAAAGGAAAGGTGTAGTGAAAGAAATAGGGGGGCTACTAGCGATGACCACCTTGTAAAAATGCTAGTTGCCTGGCTATGTCTGGCCTTAATACTATGGCCCTCCAGGTGTTGAGAAACTGCAAGTCCAATGAGGACTTACAAGACTCTGACAGCTACAGGCAACACTCCCAGAGGCATGATGGGACTTGTAGTACATCAATAGCTGGAGCCATAGGTTGGAGACCCCTGATTTAAAGGAAAGGTGTAGTGAAAGAAATAGGGGGCTACTAGCGATGACCACCTTGTAAAAATGCTAGTTGCCTGGCTATGTCTGGCCTTAATACTATGGCCCTCCAGGTGTTGAGAAACTGCAAGTCCAATGAGGACTTACAAGACTCTGACAGCTACAGGCAACACTCCCAGAGGCATGATGGGACTTGTAGTACTTCAATAGCTGGAGCCATAGTTTGGAGACCCCTGATTTAAAGGAAAGGTGTAGTGAAAGAAATAGGGGGCTACTAGCGATGACCACCTTGTAAAAATGCTAGTTGCCTGGCTATGTCTGGCCTTAATACTATGGCCCTCCAGGTGTTGAGAAACTGCAAGTCCAATGAGGACTTACAAGACTCTGACAGCCACAGGCAAAACTCCCAGAGGCATGATGGGACTTGTAGTACTTCAACAGCTGGAGCCATAGTTTGGAGACCCCTGATTTAAAGGAAAGGTGTAGTGAAAGAAATAGGGGGGCTACTAGCGATGACCACTTTGTAAAAATGCTAGTTGCCTGGCTATGTCTGGCCTTAATACTATGGCCCTCCAGGTGTTGAGAAACTGCAAGTCCAATGAGGACTTACAAGACTCTGACAGCCACAGGCAAGACTCCCAGAGGCATGATGGGACTTGTAGTACTTCAACAGCTGGAGCCATAGTTTGGAGACCCCTGATTTAAAGGAAAGGTGTAGTGAAAGAAATAGGGGGGCTAGTAGCGATGACCACCTTGTAAAAATGCTAGTTGCCTGGCTATGTCTGGCCTTAATACTGACCTGGAACCAACATGCAGATTAGAAGGTTACAGTAATATCCTAAGATGCATACTTCTTCCAGGATTTTGCCTCAGAAAGTATTACAGCTGATATCCAGGCAGGTATGAAACACTATTATTAATGCAGCTTTGAATTCATGAATACATCATCAAATCAATTTTTAATGCATCATAAGTACCTGAATTTAAAGTGATTCTACAGGCTAATTGTTTTTTTAGAAAAAATAACAAGCATGTCTATACTTACCTGCTGTGTGTAGTGGTTTTGCACAGAGCAGCCCTGATCCTCCTCTTCTAGGGTCCCCCGCTGGCGCTCCTGACCCCTCCCTCCTGTCGGGTGCCACCACAGCAAGCAGCTTGCTATTGGAGTGCCTGCTGCTCCTTGTGTCCATTCACACACAGAGCCGATGCTCAGCCCTGCCCCTTCTCTCTTCTCATTGGCTCACTGGCAGTGATTGACAGCAATGGGAGCCAATGGCTCCCGCTTCTTTCTCAGCCAATGAAGAAAGGGAGTCCTGGGCTAGCCAAGAGTCCATTGCACATTGCTGGATTGAGAGGAGGCTTAGATGAGTTTTAGGGGGGGCCGGGGGGATTGCTGCACACAGGTTTTTTTTACTTTCATGCATAGAATGCATAAAGGTAAAAACCCTGGAACCTTTACAACCACTTTATTTTGACATCTGTTTCTCTGTAGCAGCGCCAGCAGAGCTCAGATTCGGGGGGGGAGAAGCAGCATTAGGAGCCTGTCAGTTGTACTACAGTGCTCATGTGCTAACCAGGAGCATGCCAAAAATAGGAGAGAGCAGAGTGACATAGAAATGAGCTCATCAGTTTGCTGCTTCTCCTTTCATTGTGCCGTCTCAGACTGAGGGAGAGACCTTTAAAGTAGAACTACAGGCAAAACTTTTTTTTCATTTTAGATAGTGCAAGGGAAGGTTTTTTTTTCTCCATCTGTGTCCCATTGTGGAGATTTGCCTTCACTTCTTGTCCCATAGCCAAACAAGAAGTGAGAGAAAATCCCTGAAATTGGGGACCCCCAGGTCACCAGAACTAGTGTCCCCATTGGAAGATTTATATGTATTGCGTTTCTGGAGACAACCCAAAATTTGGGATTTTCTTTTACTTTCACTTTCAATGATAATGGTAAACAGGACAAATAGAGAGGATGAATCTCCCTAACGGGGGGCACATACAGCAATAAAAGCTGACAGGGGGTTCTAATCCCTCTTCTCTCTATCCAAAAAAAAAAAAAAGATTTGCCTTTAGTTATACTTTTAAGTGTTACTTAATTGCAGCAGAGAAAAATCAGGTCTCCTGCTCTTGCAGACAAAGTTGTGCTGGGTGGCAGAGCTGTGTGCATCTCAGGAATTCGTAAAAAGAAATACAAATCCTTTGGCGGATAAAATAGCACCCTTGTATGTGTTTCATCTGTATCTATAGCTGTTTACCTGGAGTTTAGTTTAAGACCTGGTTCACACCAATGCGGTGCGGGAAACGCTGCAAATCCTGTGCATTTCCTGCACCGAATTGCAATGGCATCGCGTTCATGCGATCTGGTGCGGGTGTCAATGATAATTTAATGACACCCTGAAACAGTTCGCAAAACGTGATTGCCAGAAATTGCATCGCATGGGTGAGAACACCCATGCAATGCGATTAAAGTGCGGATTTAAAAAAGGGTCTTGCACCTTTTTGGTGCCGATGCAATACGATTTGAGCCATACAAAGTGTTTGGCTCAAATTGCACTGCACAGACAAATTTGCATGTAATTCGCACAGGAATGTGGTGCGGTTCCTGTTTGAATTACATGCGATGTCCTGCACTGCATAGTGTGAACTCAGGCTCAAAGTTAGGAATGCAAGATTCATTTTGTACAGAAAAAACATTCCCCTCTAAGTAAACTCTATGCATTGCAAGGATTTCGACACATTTTTCACAATTTCATGTCCTTCCCAAAATTGCTTTTTGTATCTCTATGTCCTTTGTCAGACTGATTTCTGAATGGGTAGGTCAGGATTTGTTATAACCACCTTGCGTTGTAATGAGAAAATCTACAATGTCTCTATTATTGTAGAAGTGGGTGAGCCTTAGGCAAGGCAGAGATGATACCATTTTTCTTTCATGCAGCCATGGGTTGCAGGAAAGAATATTGCTTGATTCCCCCATCTCACAGCGCTATTCTGTTCTTCCAGCGGGGAGCCTTCCCTGCCAGCAGAACACAACAATTAATGCTAGTGGCTATAGCTGCTGGCAGTAATCACATGCAAAAATTCCAATAGGCTGGTTGTACTGAAGTCAAACAATCGATCGACATCAGTACATCCAGCCCACCCATAGATGGATCGAATCTCGGCCAGTTCCTGCTGAACCAGCTGAAATTTGATCCATTTATGGCTGGCTTTAGGCTGGCCATGGATAGAAATTTGGCCAGTTCAGCAGGGATTGGGTGAATTTCGATCCATCTGAGACCGTTCCTGCTTGTGAAGAAAATGTAATCATCATCTTCTCTTGAATGGGAAAGTCATAAAATGTTAATTCAGCCAGCATCTGCAGCTCTGTTCAGTGTACTGTGAAAGTGGAGTCTCTGTAGTTGGAATACAATAACACAACAGGGAGGATTCCTCAATCTGCCTCGCCTGTGTGGATGGGGGAATCTGTGTGTTATTTTTATCAGTTGGTGGGCTGATCAAAAAAAAAAAAAAGATCCATCTATGGCCCATTTTAGTAGTTATTTTCCCAAGAATAACAATCCTTATGTAATACATTCCTTCTGTGTTCTATATTGCTATAAGGACCTTGTCTTGTCTATTCCTTTAACTGAATGTAGGAAATTTAGTAAATCTGGAGTGTGCAAAATCTGGTGCAGCTCTGCATAGAAATCAGCTTCTAGGCATTATTGGGAAAGCTTAACATCCCAGTCACATCGGATGTGACTTGCCATGCCATGGCAGTTGCAAATCGCATGGCAAGTTGCACCCTATTGTCTGCAATTAAAGCGGTCATATCGGTGCAATTCCTACTTGGACGGCGCCCGCTCCAATTTCTAAAGTACAGACATCTGTGTCTTGCAAGTCGCTGATGTCTTTCAAGTCACACCTCAAGTAGGAATGACATCCGGCTTTGAAATTGTGCAACTTCACTGGAATTCACATGATTTCAAAGTCGGATCGGTGTGACCGGGGTGCAATTAAACAAGCTGAAGTTAGAAGCTGATTTGCTATCATGCACAGCTGCACCTGATTCTGAGTGCTCCAGCTTCAGTAAATCAACCCAATCATGTCCAATAGAGGTCCCTGTCTTTGTCAACATTGATGTTGTTACATTTTTTGCCCATTACTAATGAAAACTCTTTTGGATTAAAAAAGAATGAGATTTCCGGGGGTATTTTATACACCAATACTGTACATCAGGGGTGGACTGACATATCATAGGGCCCCCCGGACAATAGGGGATCATGAAGCCCCTGTGTCCTTGCCCACACTCAAAAAAAGCCTATAAAAAGGTACCAGGGACATCTCATGGGGGCCCCCTACTGACCCCAGGCCTTCGGGCAGTGCCTGAGTGCTCGAATGGTCAGTCCGCCCCTGCTGTACATGCTGGAAAGGAAGCATTGTTCAATTTTATTTCCATTTTAGAAAGTTAGATCATCTGCAGGATGATATTGAAGGGATAGTTTTAATAACAAGAAATTACAAAATGGCTTGTTTAGCAAAAATATATGTTGACCTCCCTAACGGTCTGATTATGTCAATATTTCTGTGCTCAAAGCGGTACAACAAGAATGTAGTAAACATCCCGGGTATGATAAAATTTGAAACACGAAATCATAAATTATGATATAATAAATGATCATAAAAAAAAATAATATAATAATACATTTAATTCAATAATATAATCAAACCAAAAACACAGAAATTTGAAATATAGCACCAAGTTCGCACATCACGAATTTCCTCACGAATCATTATCACTCAATTCTGCAAGTGGTTCTAATTTACTGTCGCTGTTCTCTAGCTGGTCTAAAATCGCTTTTGACCTAAAGGGACATTTTTTGGACACCATGGACATTTCTCAGTTTCCAGGCAGAAAGAACAGTAAAAATGCAAGCAGGGCACAGGACAAAGCACTAGGGACAAAATGTATGTGAAATTGTTTGATACAGTAATATATGTTATACTATTTAATTTTAGTGTATTTAGTGTGTCACTTTTTGACATTTTTAAATTTTCCGCTGGTTCCGGCCCACATACGTCCCATATGTCCCGATGCTCACAGGGACTGGAACCCGGAAGACGGATGCCGGCATCGGCCGGAGGAGATGGCTGGGGACACTGCAGGGGGGATATCGCGGGAGTGAAGGACAAGGTAAGTGCAAGAGGGAATCCCTGAGCAACGCTCAATGTAGCTCGGGGTTACCGCTTTTGGTACTGAAAGTTAACCCTGAGCTACACTCGGGAATACCGCCAGGGAGGTTAAGATCAATATCAATCAAAAGTGGAGTTCTCTAAAAATATGGAATTCCTACATCCAATGGCAAGCAGTCTCTCAAGCCTTCAGGAAATGCTGCTAATTCTTCTAAAGCTGGCCTTACATTGGTGAACCAATTCCCACATCCCACATGTTCGAGGTGGATGGAGGAATCCTCCCCACTGATCTATTGGGGGAAAATCTATCTGCTATCAGAATACACAGATCAGTGCTGCATCCTATTGCCTGCAGTGCTGATTGAGCGGCTTATCCGACAGGGCGGTTGAACAGAATTTGATCAGTAAATTGACTTCTGTTCAACCGCAGCGGCTTTGTCTGAATTTCAATTCATGTTTGGCCAACTCATCATTCCTTCTGTATATCAGCTATCTCTGTTCTTGTTTACAATACAGCAGGCTGTATCTCTTTATTCATTGACATGAATGGGCAGAGTGACAGATTTTCAAGAAAAAAAACTTGAAATTAATCTTTTCTGTGGAGATCCAATGTAAATGGTTTCGAAGCTCATCTCTGTGATTGTGATTTTCATTAGGGGTTTGACTATTGTTTGATTTGATAATGGATTGTCAACTAACTAATTAGCTGAGGTTTTGCTTTTTACATTATCGGAGTATCAACATTGCAGTGGCATACAAGATAACCAGCCTAAGTTAACCTGATGTCTTCTCTCTTTTAACAGTGAACAATGCAGGATTAACCCCTTTGATGCTTGCTCAAAGCCTAAAGCATTTTGAATGTGAAGAACTGGTATGTAGTTTAGCAGAGAATAAGAACCAACTCCAGATATTTCAGTTATGGGGGAATATTGGTGATTACCTAAATTATTTATATATTCCACACTATGGTGTATGGCATTAGGAAAGCCTGACACCCTTATTAGGCTTTTTATTCATATTTATAGAACTGGGAATCCCCACGAGATCAAAGATATGGGAATGTGATTCAGCTCACCAGCAATGATGCAAAACTGAAATATCATTCTAGATGGAGTTCTTCTTTAATATTACCTTGGAGAAAGGCAATTTATAATATTTCCTTTTCAATTGGCCACAGTTGGAAAAAGCTGGAGAAGGGAATTTTAATGCTGAACTGGATTTTGATTGGTTCCATCAAGAGGAGGAAATAAGCAATAGTGATGAAGAGGATGCTGAAAAGGTGAGCAGTAGTTAGCAGTTCTTTTTTATGTTAAATAAAGTGTAATTTCTAAATAGGACCTTTTTTTTTTTACAGATTTCAGCAATCTTTATTGTTAACCCTTCACCACCACAGTTCGGATACATTAAAGTGTTACTAAACCCACAACAGTAAAATCAGTCTGTATATGCAGTAAAGCATGCTTGTTATACTCACTGTGGAACCTAGGGGGTTAATCCTCTGCATTGTGCAAAAATGCTGTTTGATCCTGTCTTTTCTGATTCTTTCCTTCTTCCAGTGTCCCCCTCTTATCTCCTGGTAAGTCTTATCGTGTGGAGACACTCTGCACATGCTCAGTTTGGTGCCTTTTGCTCGAGAAGGTTTTCTTTTTTGGGAGGGGGGGGATACATGTGATCAGCACATGACCAATCATCACTGTCCAGACAGAGGTCAGGGGTTCCGCATCCTCCTAGAGGAAAATAAAAACATCTCCTACAAGCTTTAACCAGTGCTTAGCTGGACACTAATAGAAGTCACAAGACTGCTATATACTGCTGATGAGAAAAAGGTATTTAGCAGTTTATATTTACTAAAATAATTGCATTTCCATGTTCTGTGTACTGTGGGAGACCAGATATAGTGAGGCGCCTGGGTTTAGTAACACTTTAAACATCTAAACTGTAATGTTTATGTATTGCACCAGCTTACAGTTCCTTCAAAATTTTTACATCCCACTATCTTAGCACATTTACTTACAATTCACTGGCTTTTTTTTCTTGCCACTGGGAGCCCTGAGCATCATAATGCTTCCCATGGTTTCAGTACTTCTGATTACTGATGTAAGCACTCCAGTAGATGGTTGTGCCAGCTTCTGCTGGTGGTACAAGGATATATTGAGGCCTGTATGATGGACTGAAAAGTGTGCAATCCAGAGCTCCATTAAACACCTTCAATTTGTCTGCATCCTATTTAAAGTGGAACTGCACTCTCAAAAGCAACATTGACTATTTTGAATCCTTATGCTGTTAACATTAGTAAATAGATAGGAAAGTATATAATGTTTACTTGTTTTTAATTTTTTTTTTTACATTTCTTTAGTTACTTCCTGATTTCCATGCTTAGGCAAATTTATCATACATCCCAGGAGTCTTCAGATGGGGGAGGAGGGGTTTTCTTAGCCAACCACCCTCCTGCCTGTATGCATGAGCTAAGGGCAGATGGATTCCAGAAAAGTAAAATGCTACATGAATCATATACTCTTACTCAAGATGGCCACGGCCAGAAATGCTAGGGCAGTGGTGGGCAACCTTTTTTTTCAACTGAGCCAAATCTCGCCAAAACCACGATTGAAATTTATTTTGAGAGCCACATTTTTAAAACTGAAAATACATAGGATGGTACACTGTTTTTAGTTTCAATAAGTTTTTTATAGTAATTCATCCCCCATAGTAATTCATCCCCCATATAGTAATTCATCCCCCATAGTAATTCATCCCCCATATAGTAATTAATCCCCCATAGTAATTCATCCCCCCATATAGTAATTCATCCCCCATAGTAATTCATCCCCATAGTAATTCATCCCCCATATAGTAATTCATCCCCATAGTAATTCATCCCCCATAGTAATTCATCCCCATAGTAATTCATCCCCCATATAGTAATTAATCCCCCATATAGTAATTCATCCCCCATAGTAATTCATCCCCCCTATAGTAATTCATCCCCCCCCTATAGTAATTAATCCCCCATATAGTAATTCATCCCCCATATAGTAATTCATCCCCCATAGTAATTCATCCCCCCTATAGTAATTCATCCCCCCTATAGTAATTCATCCCCCATATAGTAATTCATCCCCCATATAGTAATTCATCCCCCATAGTAATTCATCCCCCCTATAGTAATTCATCCCCATATTAATTCATCCCTCATATAGTAGTAGTAAGTTAAGTAAGTAGCAAGTAGTAAGCCAAGTCCCCCCTGTGTCAATTCACTTACCTTTGCTCCGCGCGTTCCTCTTGCCGTGTTCCCGCGCCGTTCCGGTCTTCAGGGCGGACTGTGAGAGGAGCCTAGCTCCTCTCACGTTCGTCACGCTAGCTGCCCCGCTACACACATCCTGACAGCCAATCACTGGCTATCAGGATGTGAGTGGCAGCGAGACTGGCCAATCATTGCATTTGAGCGCGCTGCCCTGGCTGTTTTTTTTTTGGATCACGCTGCAGAGTCCCTGCCGCCCGAGAGGAGGGAGGGGAGCGGGCGCCCGGCACACAAGAGCCGCATTAAAGCGTGTAAAGAGCCGCATGTGGCTCGCGAGCCGCGGCTTGCGCCGACCACTGTGCTAGGGAGTGTTTTTTCAGCAAAATAAAGCACGGAGGCATGGATAGATGGGGGAGTGTTTGCTTTGAAAAATTAAAATGAATTAAAGCAGAGTTACAATCACACTGCAAAAAACATAAAGTCAGCAGCTACAAAAACTGTAGCTGCTGACTTTTAAAAAACAGCCACTCACCTGTCCCTTGATCCTGCGGTGTCCCGTGCCAGCATCTTTAGTGTGGGGCACCCGGCTGTGACAGCTTGCGGCTTCACAGTCGGGTGCCCACTGCGCATGCGTGAGTAGCGCTGCGCTTCCTGAATGGGCCCCATAGTCTTCGGGGACCTGTCACATGTCCAAGAAGACTACGGGAAGGGCAGGGGGAAGGACAACTTCCACTTCCAATTGCCTAGGCGATCACAGTGGGAGCGGGTACCTGTCAATTTCAGGTACCTGCTTCCCAAAGGTGCCTGTCTTAATGGGGAGCGGGGGGACCAGTCTTTAAAGCGGAACTTCCTCTTTTGGGTGGAGCTCCATTTTAAATAGTGCTTCTGGTTTGTGGTTTTCAGATACAGTGTAGTTCCACTTCAAGTACAGGTTATGCCTAAAGGTGCATGTGTTCATCCTGAATATCAGGCAACAAGGTATTCGGGACATATACACCAGCATATTAAGCTGACAGGATGGTCCACAAGGTTATATTAGTTGATGCCATTATACATGTCATATGACCCACATTGGTGTGCAAAGTGAATGACATGTCTGTTAAAAAGAAAAAAAGAAAGGAACACATTTTAATTTTTAATGAAACCATACTATTAAACCAACATGGTTCATCTAACAATATCATAAAAAGTATTGCCTTGTATTCATGATTAAAACATATATATACTATTCATCTACAATATCTATAGCCCCCAGAATGAGGGAAAATTCAGTGTTAAATAAATCAAAATGTGAATACCATCAAGTAAACAATATTATGAATTAATGTTTTTTTTTGGGGGGGGGGGGGGTAGCCTAGAGGCTATTGTAAGTTCTTTATTGTATTCTCCCTTCTGTCACAGCTCTCTAGCAATCCCTAGATAGCAGTTGTGAAAAATCTGTGTAAAGATCCTCTTTACCTGCTATCACTTATTCTTCATTCACTCTGCTCTTCCCCATATCCTGACATAATTTTTTTCAGCTGACCTCCAGTAGTAGCCAATAGAAAAAGAACAGTGATTTATTTTAATCCTGTGTGTCACTCGGCATCCACATGTCAATTGTGTGCTGTTGCTGTGATGGTTGCAGGTGGTTCAATGTGTAATTCTATCTGGGCAGACTGAGCACAGACATACTTATTTTTTTTTTTTTTTTGTTCCATAAGAGTTTTATTAAGTTTTACAAGCATTAAAAAGATAAGAGTAGTGTACAAGGAAGTCACACAGCAATACAAAACATGCTCAAGGACTCATGCAACAGTGTTAATCCAGGCAAAACAAAAAAAAGGAGGAAGGGGAGGCAAGAGCCAAAAAACAAACAAAAAAAGGGGGGGGGGGAAAGGGGAGGGGGGAAATGGCAAAAAGGAAAAATCTAAACATAAGAGGGGTAACCCAGTTGCACGGGGGGGGGAGGAGATCCTGTCCACTCAGAATCGACAGCTCCCTCATACACTCAAGCTCCACGTATCCGCTATCCAGAAAAATAAATTGAGACAACCCAGCAATACGGGAAGCAGCATTTTGCTGTATAACATTTCCCCTCATAGCAAAACCCTCATCACTTCAACGTCCGACATGAGGAGCACCTCATGGAGGCCAGCAAAGAACAAACAGGGAAAAGAGAACCCGGTCAACACATTCAGGTCATAATTTGTTTGTACGAATCAGTGGTCAGAAAATGGATCCAACACGCCCAGGTAGAGTGGTAAGAGGTTATTTGATCCTGAGAAATATAAATCAATTCTTCCAGATCAGCTATCCTATTCAGTCTACCAAACCAATCCCTCAGACTTGGAACTCTCCCAGTCTTCCAAAGTAAAGGAATGCACATTAGAGCAGCATTAATCATGTGTGATGCTAATGATCTTTTGTAGCCATTGAATGACTGAGTAGTCACATGAAGGAGGTATTGAGCCGGGGAAAATGTTACTGTGTCTCCGGTCACTTGTACAATAATATCATGTACCGTGTGCAAGAAAGTGGAAAGAAGGGGGCTGGACCACCATATATGGAAATGAACCCACCGCCGATAAACACCTCCAACACCTGTCTGCTGTTAACGAGGAAAATTTGTGTATGGTCTGAGGCACCCTATACCATCTAGACTTCAATTTATACGCGTTTTCTTGTACTGAGACATTAAGGGAGTTTTTATGCGCCAATAAATGAATATGTTCCCATTCTTCGTCACTAAAAGAGCAGTTCAGATCTCGCTTTTATGACCTGCAAGCAATGCCCGAGCCAGGCGAACTGCGATCATGTAAAAGAGCGTAAATGGTCGAGATCATATGAAGCTGTGGAGATTGGCTTGTGCAAATAGTTTCAAAGGAGAGAAGCGGCCACCAAAACTCTCTGGAATGTCGTGAAATCTTCAAGAAATGACGAATTTGAATATACGCCCAAAAAGGTATAGGGGAGTCTTAATACTGTTGCAACAGATATGCTCTGTCCACAAATGCACTCTTATGGAAAAGATTTTTCCAATGTTGCATCGGCGTCCAAGGAAGGGACGCAAGAGGCTTATTGGAGAAGGCTTGTTCCAATCTGACCCAGTCCTTAGACTGACCATCCACTATTCTAGCCAGGTGGCTGGCCCAAAAATATTTTTGAAGATGAGGCAACCCGAGCCCTCCCCTAGCTTTCAACAGAGATAAGTAATCCAAGGCTATACAAGGAGCTTTTTTGTTCCAAATGAATCTACTAAATTGTGTCCGAAGCTGTGTAAAAAAAGATTTGCGTAAAGAAATCGGAACGGTCTGCATCACATACAATACGCAAGACAAAACATTCATTTTTTATCACCACTGCCCTACCAAACCAGGAGGGGTGTTGGGACTGCCAATGTAGAAGGTTGTGGGAAATATCTTTGACCAAGGGAGCAAAATTGTTCTCATATAGATCTCCTAAGTACATGATTCCTTCCGTGCTCCATACAAAAGGAAATTCCCATTTAGTGAAGGCAACTTCATCAGCTGATAAGTTAAGGCCCAATGCATGGGACTTCGAATTGTTGATTTTAAAGTTGGATAAGAAAGAGAACGCATCCAAGAGATTTGGTAAGGTCGTACGTGGCTCTCAAAGAAATAAAAGAATATCATCCGCATAAGCTGCATATTTGTATTCCTTATTCGCTATGTGAAAGCCCTTGATGTTATTATCAGCTTGTAAACTCTGAAAGAAGGGTTCTAAAGACAGGATAAAGATTAGAGGCAACAGCGGGCATCCCTGACATGTCCCATTATGTATGGCAAAAGAATCAGAAAGAAAGCCATTGACCTTGACTCTGTCAAGGACAGAAGGCGGTTGGCCAGGATTTGGCATAAAGTTTGGCATCTACATTTAAGAGGGAAATCGGCCTATAATTCGATGCAATACTAGAATCATTTCCTGGTTTCGGCAAGACCATAATGTGCGCAGCTAGGAGGCTCTGAGGAGGGGAGTAAACCCCAAGTTAAAGACCTTCACAAAATGTGAAGCTAAAATCCCAAGGGAACTTTTATAATATTGGGTGGGGAGACCATCCGGCCCTGGACATTTACCCAGTTTCATTTGTTTCAATGCCATCTAAAATTCTGTTTCGGATAAGGATGCTTCCAGCATCTGAGCATCCACAGCAGACAAGGCCAAGGGAGCACATGGTTTAAGGAAAGAATGAAGCATACGTGCCAGAAGACGGCCATTCTTGTTACTGTGTTCAAAGAAGAATTTCTGGCCTAAGATAATTCTGCGAGGGGCTTTAATGTTTAGCGCTTTGCTTAATTCTTCCCTAAGAGTCGTAAGCTCAGCAAGTATAGATTGAAGTTGGGAGCGCTTGTCTGCCTGTTCCAAAGTGCGAATGCGGCTCAATAGATCCTCAATATGCAATTGCGACTCCCTCTTACGTCTCGCTGCTAAAGCCAAAAATTGTCCCCTAATGACACACTTATGTGCTTCCCATTGCATCACGGGAGGGACTTCATCAGAGTCATTAAGTTGAAAGTATTCTTGCAAAGATTTTTGGAGCTCACTAAAGTCAATTGGGTCTTTCAAAAGAGAGGCATCTAAGCGCCAAAGTTTCGTACGCCATTACATAGATGGAAAAGTCAGTGTCATAGAGACAGCATTGTGGCCAGAAATGACTGCGGGATCCACAGACATGTCTTTCAAATAATGCAGGTCCGATTGCGATAAGAACCAATAGTTTATCCTACAGTATTTGTTGTGCGGGGAAGAAAAGAATGTAAATTCTTTCGCGGAGCGATAAAGTGTCCGCTATGTATCATGATGAGTTAGCTCGCTTAGCGAATTCCTAATGCTCCACAAGGCTCTATAAGGCAGCACAGAAGCCCCATTGGACGTGTCCAACAACGGTTCAACAGAACATTAAAGTCTCCTCCGACAAATATAATGCCCTTCTGAAAGGTAAGAAGGAGTTAGCAAACCCGTCTAAAGAAAGTGACCTGATTAGAGTTTGGACTATATATATTAGCTAAGGTAATCGGCTTACCGGACAACGTCCCTTTCAAGAAAAGGAATCTACTGTACCTCCCTCATCGGCCAACTGGTCCTCCAACTTGAAAAAGTGTGCTGAGAAAACAAAATAGCAACACCCTTTGATTTAGCAAGGGGGTTCGTGGCATGGTAGACCGTAGGAAAGCGATGATCAGAGAGCCTAGGAGTATTGTCTGAACAGAAGTGAGTCTCCAGCAAAAAAGCTATCTGACATCTCTTCCTGTATAAATCCTGCAGGACCATGGTTCTCTTTTCGGGCATGTTAAGGCCATTGACATTGAAGGAGAGGAATTTATACTCCAAGTCAAATGCCCTGGAGTTACCGTTGGCCATCCTTGCTTCCGGAGGCCAGCCCCGCCCAAGTGACAAAAAAAAGGGGGGGAGGGAAGGAGGAGGTTGGGGATAGGAGAGGAGTTAAAAAGGGGAAAAAGTTATTACTATGGCAAGACCCTAGGTCACTCATCCGCGGCATCTCCTGGAAGATATCTGCATTGTATGTCAGTGAGTCTCCTGTGCCAGTACTCATGGTCGTGGCCTGTGCAGAGGCCTGTGCCATTGTGGCCTGAGGTGGCAGGGAACTCAGCGTGTGGGTATCGCCATTCTGGGACCAGAACATAGGCGGTAGCTGTCAGCCCAGCTGCGAGTGTGGAGCTGTGACGGAGCTTTCTTGATCTTACCCATGATCGATTGCATTCAGTAGGCTAGGCAGGGCAGCACAACTCTCCCTCTCTTGTGTCGGAGCCTTACTACAGAGCGTCCATCTTGGATGCCGCCGAGGCCACGCCCCCAAACATACTTTTTTAAGGTAGAGTAAATTGGTTTCAGAGCTGTGACATGAGAAAAGGTATACAGTAATACCTTGGTTTACAAATTTAATTAGTTCTGCAGGACTTTTTGTATAGCGAAAATTTAGTAAACCGAAACACCAATTCCCATAGGAATGCATTGAAAGCCAAATAATCCGTTCCGAAGGTCCGGAAAAATAATCGCTACTAAAATACCGCATGTGTTATTTTATCAAGTGATGCGGTATTTTAGTAGTGACAACCTTGTGTTAATGTTTCAGCTGTCAGCAGGGTTCCCCACTGACAGATGAATGTAAAAGAATAAGGTGCTTTGGGGGGGAGCCCCTCCTGCCCCACAGCACCCCCCCATGTTGAGGGCATGTGAACTGATATGGTTCAGGACCTGCCGGGCTGCATTCTCAGATAAGGGTCTGGTATGGATTTTGGGGGGGGACCCCCACGCCATTTTTTTTAAATTTTGGTGCTGGAGTTTCCCTCAAAATCCATACCAGACCCGAAGGGCTTGGTATGGATGGGCGGAGGGACCTCACTTTGTTATTTTGTTTATTATGGTGCCGGTTTTTAAATGTAATTACCACATTTTTTTTTTCTTCACTATAGCTCTGAAATTCAGCTGTCACTTTCCCCCCAGCTAAAAGAAAGAAAGTTTTCTTTTAGTTTATTTCCCTGAGTTAAGAGAAACAATGTTTCCTTTTAGTTTCTTAAAAGAAATAAAGTTTCCATTAACTCTGGGGAAAGTGACAGCTAGTTCTGTGAGCTATAGTATCGTATTGCGCAAAAATTTGTAAACCGAGGCATTATTTTCAATGGATTTTCATTCGTAAACCGAAAATTACATTAACTGAGGCATTTGTAAACTGAGGTATTACTGTAATATTAAATGTATAGCAACCCCAACAGGTACGGATAATGTTGGATGGAACAACAAGAGGCATGGCAGGAATCCCTTTACATACATAAATATATATATAAAAACCGAAGAGAGAAATCCAACAGATTCTGCCATCCAAGCTAAACAGCATAGATGCCCTGCTGGGCTACTGTATTCTTACCAAATATCCTAACAGCGGCTGCATCTGATTGGATGAAGCAGGTTTGCGGCTGAAAGTTTTCTAGCAGACTCCTTCAACATAAGCCAAACAAATAATCAGCATGTGTTAAACAGAGGCTAGCAGGACCACCTACTGATTGAATTGTGGCTGGTTCATCAGGAACTAGATAAAATTTGCTCAGTGTATGTCCAGCTTTAATGTTGCACTTACATCATACAAGCACGCTGTTTACAATCTCTCATTTCTTTCTTTCCAGCTGAGCCCATTATCATTGTCCCAGAATCCTTTGCTGTCCTCTTCGGTCAGGCATTATTCCAGGCAGAGCTCACTGGGATTGGACATCAGTAACAGGACTTATGAGACTTTTGTTATGCCTGCTAGAGTTCCAGCAACTCAGAGATCCCATAGTGTGGAGAATCCACCGCCTTTACCTGCCAAAACCCACAGCCGCAGTAAGCAGTGCTCACCTTTCTTACATTTCACATTTTAACAGCTCGTAATGTGCTAATTAAAGTTTATTTCTGATTGCATTGGCTCACTTTAACCTGATAAAAGACTTTTGCTTTATATAATCTGAATTCTGAGCATCTCCAGAATCAACTGTGATCTCCTAAATTCCTGATAATGTTTTGGACTTAAAAAACAAATAGTAAGTATTTCTTAATACCTCAAATTGCTCTTTTATGGTGGTTCTCATGTTTGAATCATCACACTGTCTAGGAGAGATTTATTAGCCTTGGGTTTACAGCAGAACAGTAATGTAGGTGCTGTGCAGGGAGCTGAATTTCCCAGTTTAAGAGCTTAGATAGGTGGACTCTATGCCCAGAAAGTGGGGCCTGCTGGCCAGTTTGCCAGTTCAAAGAAGGTGGGGGTGATGGATCAGTGTGCAGGACAGGAAATCAGTTGAAACCAAACCTGTGTGGTAGCAAATGGTACATAATGTAGAACTTTAAGTCCAGGAGGTGGCATGCACCTTGTTTGACGTAACTCCCCATATGCCTGCAGATTTTACAAAGTAGCTTAATTCCTGGTGTTCAGCTTTAATTGAGCCCTGGTTCACACGGGTATGACTTCAGGTGTGACATGAGATTTACAAATTGCACCTGAAGTCGCATCTAAAGTATTGCAACTTGCATTCATTTCTGTTAAATGAAGTTACAAGCCACAGTGAAATTGGAGGTACAATCGCACTGATCAGCAGCTTTGAATTTGCGCTACTTTAAGTGAAGTAGCGCAATTTCAAAATTGCATTCAGTGTGAACCAAGGATAAAAGTCATGGTTCTTCCCGCATGCATGACATGGTGGTACATTCTTCTGAACAAACTATAACTTTTTTAAATGGGGCATATGTTTAGGAGACTGATTCTCATTGTAATATGCAACATCTATGTACCAGTTCTTTTTATACGAGGATTTGTAGAATTGTTTATATCTTTGTCCTGGTGTCTATGTTTCCTTTATATCACCATCTATAAAATGTGCCAGTTTTCATACTTTTTAGTTCCATGGTGTTCATCTCTAAAGGGTATATTTTCCTAATCATTATCTGCTTTTATCACGATTGAATAGAGAACCACTAGAAAACTTGCTGCATTGATAAAACATATTTACTGTTCTATGGAGTATTTGTTCCCCATGTTGATCAAGTTCATTGTTGTACCTCCGCATCTTACTCTTGCATGTGAATTCCAGATCCCAATAACATTCCCTTTAGTTACAATATGACCAAAGGTAAATTTCTTTAGCACCAGTTGTTTTGAAATATTTACTGTTTTACAATGACAAAATCAATTATTTTATCAATGGTTCACCAATTATTCTCAGGGGGACCCACCATACTCAAAGTAAACACCGCAAAGTAAACATTTAAAGTGATTCTAAAGGTTAATTTTTTTTTAAAATAATAAACATGCTATACTTACCTGCAGTTAGCAGTGGTTTTTTTCACAGAGCAGCCCAGATCCTCATCTTCTTGGGTCCCCCGCAGGCTGTCCTGGCCCCTCCCTCCTGTTGGGTGCCCCCACAGTAAGCAGCTTGCTATGGGGGCACCTGCTGCTCCGTGTGCCCTTTCACACACGGAGCTGAGGCTTGGCCCACCCCCTCTCCTCATTGGCTGACTGACTGTGATTGACAACAGCGGGAACCAATGCCTTGGATCAGCCAATAAGGAGGCAGAGACCCAGGACAGCCGAGGATGTCGTTCACATTGATGAATCATGATAGGGTTCAGGTAAGTATGAGGGGGCTGGGGGAACTGCTGCGCACAGGTTTTTTACCTTCATGAGTAGAATGCATGAAAGTAAAAAACCTTGAGCCTTTACAACCACTTTAAGGGATTTTAGCATAAAAGGCGTATTTGCATATGGTGGCAGAATTGGTTAATGTGATGTCAAATAAGTACAAGAAGCACTTCCAGTTGATGACACAATTGACAAGCTTATTTCTCATCCTGTGTAGAAGGTCATGAATTGACTTCCCCTCTAACTGGCAGTTTGGAGAGACCACTCAGTACTTCCTCCTACTCCCCAACCCGAGAGGACTGGGAGGGAGTTTCCGATGCAGGATTACAGCGAAGATCATCTGAACCTACTCGCTATAATGCTGAAAATAGCCATAGTCATGGACAGTTTAGGTGAGAATGCAATTCATAAGGCTTAGTTTTTTTATGTCTTTTATGTGTTTACTGGTGTCGGATTAACTTGAAAAGCTATATACAGTCAAAACTGATATTTCATTTTTGCATGGTTACTGCTGATTTGACTCATTTCCTAGTGTCTTCTGTGTCTGTGGAAGTCCATTGGCTCGAATTCCCGAGTAGAATTATTGAATTGACCTGCAATTCTTACTCCCTTGTTGCATTCTGCATGGTTGAAAACAAATAGAAAATTGTAGCAGAAGTAAGATCTTCTCATGATGACATGGCAGATTGGTGGAGCTGCCGTGTCATGTGCTGTGATTGTAGCAAGATTTCTGGACAGCTGTTACAAGCCAGTGGCAGGTTGGACTTGTTGGCATCTACCCAAAACTGATCCTTTAAAGATGTCTTCCAGCCTTACTCTTATTTTACTACACACTATGAGCTTCTCATAGGGGTTCATTTACTAAAAGCAGATAGGCTGTGCACTGCAAGTGCACTTGGAAGTGCAGTTGCTCTAGATCTGAGGGAACATGCAAGAAAAAAAAAACAGCATTTTTGCTTGCACATGATTGAATGAAAGAAATCAGCAGAGCCTCATTTCAGATCTTCCCCTCAGATCTAAAGTAACTGCACTTGCAGTGCACAGCTTATTTGCCTTTAGTAAATCAACCCCATAGTGTGCATTAGAAGCTGCACCACGGAAGACAGAGCCCACCTCTTTTCCTAGTGGAAGATGCCTAGCTTCATATAGGTGTTTCCTTTCCAGCCTTACTGCCCCTGGCCTGCCCCGTTTTATTTATTGAATTTCAGTTCAGTATTAACTAGGGTGGTCTGTATGCAAATGAAATCTGCCTAGGAACGTTCTCCTTTTTATATTTGCAAAACCCCTTCCAAGAGATTACTCTAACTGCATTGTGCATTGCAAAGAGAAGCACAGAGACAAAGTGATGACACCACTAGGTCTAAAATAAAGTATGCACTGAAAACATAAAGATTTTAATGAAAAATGTTAGGGTTGTACCGATACCGATATTGGTATCGGTGCTGATGCAAGGCATTTGCACGAGTATCGGTACTCGTGCAAATGCACTGATACCTGAAAACGATACCTTCAGGCCCATTTTTTTCAGCTATCAGCAGGATTACCCCACTGACGGCTGAAACATAAACAGAAGAATTCCTGCAGGTATTGGTTGTTAAGGACTGGGCTGTCCCGTTCTTAACGACCAATGATATTTCAGCTATCACCAGGATTTCTCCTCCTCTCCCGCCAGCTGTCACTTCTGCTGGGTAGCTTCCCCTCTTCTCTTCCCCTCCCGCCAGCTGTTACTTCTGCTGGGTAGCTTCCCCTCTTCTCTTCCCCTCCCGCCAGCTGTCACTTCTGCCGGGTAGCTTCCGCTCTTCTCTTCCCCTCCCGCCAGCTGTCACTTCTGCTGGGTAGCTTCCTCTCTTCTCTTCACCTCCCGCCAGCTGTCACTTCTGCCGGGTAGCTTCCCCTCTTCTCTTCCCCTCCCACCAGCTGTTACTTCTGCCGGGTAGCTTTCCCTCTTCTCTATCCGTCCCGCCAGCTGTCACTTCTGCCGGGTAGCTTCCCCTCTTCTCTTTCCCTCCCGCCAGCTGTCACTTCTGCCGGGTAGCTTCCCCTCTTCTCTATCCGTCCCGCCAGCTGTCACTGCTGCCGGGTAGCTTCCCCTCTTCTCTTTCCCTCCCGCCAGCTGTCACTTCTGCTGGGTAGCTTCCCCTCTTCTCTTCCCCTCTCGCCAGCTGTCACTTCTGCCGGGTAGCTTCCCCTCTCCTCTTCCCTCCCGCCAGCTGTCACTTCTGCCGGGTAGCTTCCCCTCTTCTCTATCCGTCCCGCCAGCTGTCACTTCTGCCGGGTAGCTTCCCCTCTCCTCTTCCCCTCCCGCCAGCTGTCACTTCTGCTGGGTAGCTTCCCCTCTTCTCTTCCCCTCTCGCCAGCTGTCACTTCTGCCGGGTAGCTTCCCCTCTCCTCTTCCCCTCCCGCCAGCTGTCACTTCTGCTGGGTAGCTTCCCCTTTCTGCATTTATTAATTCATTAAATAACAATAAATTTATTTACACGTTATTTTTTTAGTTCCACTTAAGTATTAAGTATTATTACTAGAATCCCACCCTAACCACAACTATTTTGCCCTCACTTATCCCCCTACTCCCCCCCTGCCCTCACCCCAGGCTCACCCACCTCCCAAAACCACCCCTCTACCAACTCTATCTAGGCAATAGGTATCGGTAATTGGTATCGGCGAGTACTTAAAAAAAGGATTGGTACTGGTACTCGGTGTTAAAAAAAAATTGGATCAGTGCATCCCTACAAAAATGTAATTACCTTTTCTAGTAGAGACAGTGCCACTTTTCTCGCTGATATGCTTGATAAGGTTTACATCACAATTCTTTGATTTCTATTTGTCCCCTGCAAAAGTAGTGAAGTGTACATCTCTAGGATAAATTGTCTAGACTGACATATTTTCAACTCTGAAGTGATTGTAACTATTAGCTACTGTTACTATGTCTGAGGATGCTACTCATGGCTGGACTAGGGCAGGTATATAAGGCTGCTGTCTTTTTTAAGGTATTTCAATTTTATTTTCTGTTTTTTTTGTTTATTAAATGTAGGTTTTTATTATCTTTATTTGTAAAACCTATAAAACTTTCAGTAAAAACTATTTGATCAAAACAAATGTAATAACCATGTTATAAAGGAGGGGGGAGGACCATGGAAGCCAAAATATAAGTAGATTAAACTTTATCTTTAAACAAATATCACTGTCTTCATATTGCAGCACGGATGGAGTAAAGTCCTACAGGAGGGTGAGATGCTCCCAAAATATGGAAAGTTCAGCACAAGGTAGGCCTTCACTGCTGTGGTCAACAGTGGCATCTAATAACTGTGATATTATTTACAGGTCTGGCAGGACAACAGGAAAAGGAAAGGGCAGTGTCAAAGGAAATAGTGGGGTTTGTTTACTAAAGGCAAATAGACTATTCACTTTGCAAGTGCAGAAAGTGACAAAGAGGCCATGTCTTGAAACATGTTGTCCTGGAGACCTGAGATGCTTATGGCTATCCCAGACAGGAGATGACTTGAACTACTGGCAGTAAGTCACTTCATTTTAATGCCATGTCCGGTTTTGAGACAGCGTACATCGGGGTTGTCATCGGAACCTGGTATCTACACTTGAATTCTGCTATTTCTTCATACTTTCACGTGTCGGACTTCCTCAAGGGCAAGTTGTAGTGGCTCAACTCATAATCACGGGGCCACCAGGAAAGCACATAAGAATACCCATTTTAAGGACATTGACATGTGGTTTTAGCAGTGTATTATCAATAAAGTAGACACATTCATTTGCACCATTGGACTTTTTATGACTGTTCTAGTTGGGACATTCCCTTTTGAACTCATAGGTCTGGATGGCACATGATGGTTGTTTCTTCCCCATTCCAAGGGTGCATTATCATTGCAATCACAATTGTTCTGTAGTGGCACTGAAATACTCTCTACTGGCTACACCCTGTGGTGTATTCCCTTGTTTTAAAGTTCACATGCACATTCCCTAGATTCCATGTGCTGGGTTTTTTTCTGGGACTTTACTTTGCAAAGAACACCCAATCACATGCAAGGAAAATAAAAAAAAAACAGCATTTTTGCTTGCACATGATCAGATGATGGAAGTCAGACAAGCTTCATTTCATTTACTAAGCTCTGGAGCAAATTGCCTTGCAGAGTGCAACTGAATTTGCAAAGCAAACAGTCTATCTGCCCTTAGTATATCAACTCCATAGTTTCTAGAGCAAGTTACAGTATATAAAAATTGCACGCAAGAAAAGTGGAGGGTGTTGCTCATAGAAAAAAATAAGGTTCCCTCTACCGGTTTTACAAATTAAACATGGATGGATGACTAAGGCCAATATACTATCACAGTTGTTAAATGAAGATCAGTGTGTAGAGGAGGGATTTAGAATATTATAACTGTTTAGAGCAGAGAACAAATTCAGAGGATTTCAGGGAGAAATAATCTTTTCAATCATAATACTATTTTTCTTAATGCAGCATGTTTTGTTGGGTCTTATGATTTCAGGTGGAATTTCCAGAGGGAGATTTTATCGTGATGATAATCAGCAACCTTCGTCATCTCCACAGTGATACCTACCTATCAGAATGAGACAGTCTACTTAAAGAGCAGTAAACATTGATATTGGTTGGATATTTCCATCACCCATTATTTATATAATGCTCAGATAGGGCAAAGAATAATAAGGGTCTGCTTCCAGATAGTTCTAAACACATTCCAAGCATGTTCCACATCTTTTTTAAATGTTATCTGTTTTATACTTGTATAAATAGCTGTAATGTCGTCTCTTTTTTTCCTAAATAATTATGCTGTTTTCTATTTTTATTCCCTTTTTTGTCTTCTATTCATATTAAGGAAACATACTTGTATCCTATAGCTAAAACTGTTAAACTGATGATAATAACCTTGTAAACTTTTTAAAAAATATTTTGCTACATATTTTCTATTTTACATCACATGGAACTGTTTGTATTAGATACAGCTTATTTGTATCTTTCTTTTGATAAAGCTGAATATGGTTTTCCATATTGTGCTTCTTCCACATTGTTGGCCCTTATATAATGTTATACAGCTATAATCCCATCGCCAACCTCGATGGCATGATCCATATACTTGGCTCTCTGGCTACAGTTTGTCCTGCTGTAATAAAGCACTCTTAAGCCCAAAAGCAAACATTGCAGCTTTCCAATTCTTAGATGTGATGACTTTATTTTCTTTATATTCACTTTGGTGATCTGCCCAGTAAGTCTGTTGTTTTTCAATAAGGACAGATGTCCTGCAAATGTAGCAGTTAGAGGATTGAGACAAACCATTTCCCACTGACAGGGGTGCTTACAATGATCAGCTTTTATTTATTTAAAACCTTTATCTCAAAAGGAAATAAAAAACAAACTGTTTTCTGTAACTATGTAAAAGGTGTGAGCTAGGGTTCGGCTTTAATTTGTTAATGTATTTAAAGCTGTTAGTACATCTAACACTCCCCTTGTCCAAGACTGACAATGCTGCTGTCCAAAGGTGCCCCGTGTACTCCTTCATCCAGAGTGGTGGCACTCTAATATAGGAGGTGTGTTACTGACCAAATCACCAGGTGAAAACAGAGGGGAAAACGCCTAGAAAAGAAAACTAATACAGCCTCTAATGATTGGTAAGCTGCAATATATTACATTTTTGATACACATTATAATAAACTGGGAATCCGTGCAATGTGGAATATCGAAAAAGTGTGTGTATGTATTTGAGTTGGCTGCTAAACACCTAACACCACCCGAAAGGTTGTGTGAAATCTGAATAAATAGGGGGTGCAGCGCTACCTAATCTATAAATGATAGTATGAAAGGTGTTGTGGTGAGTGCAGCAGCTACAGAGGGAGCACGTGTGAAGACACTGATTATTGAATAAGAGCACGCTCACAGCAGCACCATTACATATATGCTCAAGAATTGGGACTTTTTTAAGAATGGAAGGAGCTTTTTCGTCCAGTGGACTGTTTTCATACAAATTGAAGGACTTACCACATTTATGGTCACATGTTTATATGCTATTTTTCTTTATTGAGGTATCTTGAGGAGGAAGGGGCATTATAGTACTGTCTGCAATTTCATCCTAATACTAATTTGCATACACTGATAAAAACAAAATTAAAGGAACACTTTTTAATCAGCTTATAGCATCAAGTCAATACAACTCCTGGGATGTTGATCTGGTCAGTTAAGTAGCAGAGGAGGTTGTTAATCAGTTTCAGCTGTTTTGGTGTTAATGAAATTAACAACAGGTGCACTAGGTGGGCAACAATGAGACGACCCCCAAAACAGGAATGGTTTTACAGGTGGAGGCCACTGACATTTTTTTCCCTACTCATCTTTTCTGACTGTTTTTCACTAGTTTTGCATTTGGCTAGGGTCACTGTCACTACTGGTAGCATAAGGACAATACCTGGACCCTACAGAGGTTGCACAGCCAGTCCAACTTCTCCAGGATGGCACATCAACAGCCATTTCCAGGTCCTTAACAGTCCAAGAGCATGGAGGAGATTCCAGGACTGGTAGTTTCTGAGCTTGGGCTTTGTGCAGTAGGGTGGAACAGGATGAGCACTGCTAGAGCCCTACAATATGACCTCCAGCAGGCCACTGGTGTGAATGTCTCTGACCAAACAATCAGAAACAGACTTCATGAGGGTGGCCTCAGGGCCTGATGTCCTCTGGTGGGCCCTGTGCTCACTGCCCAACACCATAGAGCTCGATTGGTATTTGTCATTGAACACCAAAATCTGCAGGTCTGCCACTGGCGCCCTGTGCTTTTCTCAGATGAGAGCAGTTTCACCCTGAGCACATGTGACAGACGTGAAAGGATCTGGAGAAGCCGTGGAGAACGTTATGCTGCCTGTAACATCACTGATGGTCTGGGGAGGCATATCCATGGAGGGACGCACAGACCTCTATAGACAATGACACCTTGACTGCCATTAGGGTATCGGGATGAAATCCTTGGACTCATTGTCAGACCCTATGCTGGTGCAGTGAATCCTGGGTTCCTCCTGGTGCACGACAATGCCCAGAATCATGTGGCGAAAGTATGCAGGCAGTTCCTGGAAGAAGGAATTAATACCATTGGATGGCCCCCATGCTCGCCTGATCTAAATCCAATAGAACACCTCTGGGATATCATGTTTCGGTCCATCCAACACTGCCAGGTTGCACCTCAGACTGTCCAGGAGCTCAGTGATGCCCTGGTCTAGATCTGGGAGGAAAATACCCCAGGACACCATCCAACGTCTTAGGAGCATGCCCCAATGTTGTCAGGCATGCATACAAGCATGTGGGGTCCATACAAACTACTGAGTACCATTCTGAGTTGCTGCAATGAAATTTTAGCAAAATGGACAAGCCTGCTGCATCATTTTTTCACATTGATTTTCGGGGTATCTTTGAATTCAGTCCTCTGTAGGTTAATAATTTTCAATTCCATAGAACGATAGGGCATCCTTACATTCCTAACACATTACCCAGTCCATATCAGTATAGATATCCAGCATGATATTTTTCCCCATTGAGATCTGATGTGTTCAAAGTGTTTCTTTAATTTGTTTGAGCAGTGTAGTATGAATAGAATTTATCACATATGAGGTGTATACACAGCTCACAGTATTTTAGTCACACTCACACTAGGTAGAGGGAGAGGTGTACTGTAGTTCAATCACCACCATTTTATTTACACATTTTTCACATTTATTTCCCACCTTTCATACTATCATTTAGGTAGTGCTACACCCCATTTGTTCGGATTTCACATATTACATTTTTTTGGTTGAGTGTTATATCACTTTAAAGCTGAACTTCGCTCAGAAACTTTTTTCTGTGTAATTGCTAGTGGTTCCATACCTTTAGCTGGTATGTTGTCCATTTGTTTCCCAAGTCCATATTTTCTGAGTAAATAGATGTGCATTATTTAAATCAAGGGCTTCCTTGCCTATGATATCCGTTTTGCAAGACCGGTGGTCACTATGCCATGTATTCTCCTGGCCACTGGTCTTATCTCTGCACTGCGGTAGTACTTTACAGCGAGCGGTGACTCAATTCCGTCCCTGATCACTGTAGTGGGCAGACCCGGGAGGATGACACTCCTGGTGTGATCTGTCCACTGATGCAGCATCATTAGAATGACAGTCCAGGAGTCTCCTCTGCTCTCTCAGCTCCCCATGCCTGCAATATGCAGGCTATGTAAATGAGCACAAGCCTCAGTATGACCATGCCCCTTCCTCACAGTCTCATGCTTTTAGTGTACCCACCCACATTCACTACAATTTCCACTTGAATGGTGGAAACTGTAATTTTTCTAAACATTGTAGAGTGGGAGGGCAAGATCTGATGTGATCTCTGCTTTTCCAGCTCCTCCTAGAGCCGGCTGAAGCTGTCATTTTTTGAATTAGAGCGGTGATGTCATCATTATTGTATTAGACTTTTCTCCTAAACTGTGAGCAATATATTTATAAACCTCACTGTTTAGTGCTTTATATAGGTAGGCGTACTAATAGTTGATTTTTGTTGGCATCTCACAGTTCTTCTCTAAGATTATTATTATCATCACATAATGAGGACAGTAAAATGCAGGGTGAAAATAATTTATTAGCAGTTACACATTTTGATGAAATACTTACAAAAATATTTGTGTACATATATAATATTTATATATCTGACAAATGCATGGCTAAATAAAATGATCTTCCTTTACCTACTGCTCAGATTATTTGAATTACAAGTAACAAATACAAAGTCCTATATTTGTAGATCTGAAAGTTGAATGGCAGATAGAGCATGATTAACGAAGACGTATCCTTAACATTCATGCTTAAGGGCATTTTCACACTGCCCCGCTGCAGTTTAGCTTCAGTATAGTGTTCCAGTGGTTTTTCATAGACTTCAGTTAAGTTCTATTTAATTATTATCATTATTATTATACAGGATTTTATATAGCGGCAACAGTTTGCTCAGCGCTTTACAATATAACGGGAGACAATACAGCAACAATACAGTTCAATACAAGAGGGATTTGAGGGCCTGACCCGTGGAACTTACAATCAAATAGACTTCTATTAAAGATGCAGCATGCAGGGATGCTGATAAACCTTAATCGTCTTACTCCCCGCACCCGACTGCTAGCTGGATCCTTCTCCACCAAGCATCCTTTACTTCTTCCTTTTTTCTTTCTTTTTCTTCCCCTATCTCTATTCTCACTCCTCTCTCTCTATTTAATTTATCCTTCTCTTTTTTTTTTCCAAGTCCCTTCTCTGGTTTTGGACACAGTTAACCAAGGGCCATGAGGGGCATATCCTTTTATGCCCTGTTGAACATTTGAGGGCGATTGCCCACTTTATACAGGTTACAGTGGTCTGAGACACCAGACCTGACAAATAGTTTTACATTAGATATCATTTTATCTTTTATCAAGGCCGCAGTTTATATGGGGGGGGGGGGGGGGATTGTATAATTTTCTTTACTGGTTTGCAACTTCTTTCTTATGGAAAAAATGAACAAACACCATTGAAAAGAAAGATGCAGCATGCAGGACTTTGTGG